CTTCCAATTTCGTTTTATTTATTTTTCGGTAGTTATTCCGGATACTCTTAGAGTAAAAGGGAAAGTATGTCAGAAGTATGTACACGACGAATGGAGCGTTTTCGACTTCATAAATAAAATATATCCTTCATCAGGTTTGAGTCGAACTAACCATGTCAGTTTGTCCCCCTGCCTGTCTGTCAACCAACTTTAAAAACAATGAGTTCTTGGAAATCATAAAGGCTAGAAAGTTGGGACTAAGCATGCAGATTCTAGAGATTCCGCAGGGCAAGTTTATTTGCACAGAATGCCGTATTATTTTGTATTAAAATAGATTCATTTATTTATTTTGTATACCCTTGCAGAGGGTATTATGATTTCAGTAAGAAGTTTGCATCGCAGTGAAGAAGACGTTTCCGACCCCATAAAGGTTATATATTCTTGATCAGCATCACTAGACGAGTCGATCTAGCCATGTCTGTCTGTCCGTCTATCCGTCCGTTTCTACGCAAGCTAGTCTCTCAGTTTTAAAGCTATCGGGCAGAAACTTTCCCAAAAGTATTCTTTCTTTTGCAGGTAGTATATAAGTCGGAACCAGCCTGATCAGACAACTACATTTTATAGCTCCCATAGGAATAATCGGAAACAAATATTTAAAAATTATAACTTTGGTGTTTATTAACATATAACCTCCTTCGCTTGGAAACAACATTTTTTAATTAGTTCTGAATTTTGAATTTAATTTTATCAAAATCGGACGACTATACCATATAGCTGCCATAGGAACGATCGGAAATTGGTGGGAAAATAATAACAAATTATAGCTTCGGTGTTTTTTGCCATATTATCTTATACTATTGGGAATATAATTTTTTGTATTTTTAAGAATTTCGAATTAAACTTAACAATTATAACTGCAAGGGTATACAAACTTCGGCTTGCCAAAGCTAACTTCCTTTCTTGTTAATACCTATCGGTAAGTTATGACCCTGATTAGTAACTACCCGTATGTAGTAAGAACATGTTCAGTAACGAAACACCCTTGGATAAAAGTATAAAACGTAAAAAGAATAAATGCATAGTTGAATGACTTAAACCATAAAAGTTTGGTTAAAATTATTGCCGTCCCTAGTTATACCCGTTACTCGTAGAGTAAAAGGGTATACTAGATTCGTCGGAAAGTATGTAACAGGCAGAAGGAAGCGTTTCCGACCCCATAAAGTATATATATTCTTGATCAGGATCACTAGCCGAGTCGATCTAGCCATGTCCGTCTGTCCGTCTGTCCGTCTGTCCGTCTGACCGTCTGTCCGTCTGTCCGTCTGTCCGGATGAACGCTGAGATCTCGGAAACTATGAGAGCTAGGCTATTGAGATTTGGCGTGCAGATTCCTGAGCTTCTTACGCAGCGCAAGTTTGTTTCAGTAGACTGCCACGCCCACTCTAACGCCCACAAACCGCCCAAAACTGTGGCTCCTACAGTTTTGATGCTAGATAGAAAATTTTAACTGAAATGTAATGTTCTCATCAATACCTATCGATTGAGCCAAAAAAAGTTTGCCACGCCCACTTTAACGCCCACAAACCGCAAAAACCTGTGACGCCCACAATTTTCATGCTAGATAAAAAATTTTAACTGAAATGTATTGGTCTCGTCAATACCTATCGATTGATCCAAAAAAAATTTGCCACGCCCACTCTAACGCCCATAACGCTTAAATCTGTATACCGCCGGTAGGTGGCGCATTTTAGTCTCGCTTTGCTGCTTGCATATCTCCATTTAGCTGAGTAACGGGTATCTGATAGTCGAGGTACTCGACTATAGCGTTTTCCCTTGTTTTCATTTAGAAAGAAAGATTCGCCGAACCATTCTCAATACTGTCGCCAATACATTTCTGTAGCGGCTAGTCGGCGAAAATCGTTCCACTGCAAACTAGCATCCAATATGCTTAATTCGTTTACCAAAATGCCAAAACACATTTCCACGTTATAGGTCCTAGTAAAGACTTTTATTGCAACCACAACAAGCTTACATGCCATTCATCCCCACAAAGCGATACTTGCCACAGCTGCAATAAACCCCGGCTGCAGTTGCAAGTTGCAACTATAAACTGAATAGCACATTCATATGAACATGCCTGCACACACATATGCATGTTTGTGTGTTTATTGAGGAATTCATCAAAATCGCCAGGGCAACTCGAATTTTCATCGGATATTCGGCAAAAGTTGTTTCTTCTACGACCACAACACACGAGGATGCATTTGTACCGGCACTAAGAAAAAACACCCTCAACTGCAAAAACTATGACTATTACAACACGGTGCAACAAGCTTTCGAAAATTATCGACCTGTTTTTATTTATTTAACACTTATGAAAATATCACCCTAAGTTACATTTTATTTCTTAAGAGCTGTGCAACAGATAAGAAAGCGTTTCCAACCCCTTAGGAATGGATATCCTTATTGATCAGGATTACAAGCCGAGTCGAGCTAGTCCGTATGATCTTAAAAACTGTAAGACCTAGATAACAAGGATTTGTCTTGAAGGATCCCATTATCCTTTACCATCTTAAAGTACCATGATCACGCGATCACGCCATTAAGATTTCTAATTACTCATTTTAACCTATTTTTCCTATGATATTTATATTGAATAAAAACCAATTTTCCTGGGGGTCAATTCGTTCATGGCAATTATCTGAGTGCATCCTTAACCCTTGACTGGCCGGCAGCCACTTTGCCGCTCTTCCCCGCCCACCACACCTCCTCCTCCACGTCCTCCTCCTTCAGCTCCTGGAGGACGAGAGTCGCATGTGGCGTTGTTGATTACATTGTAGTGGCTGCGTGGTTGTTGGTGCTGGATATTGCGTTGTCTGCGGCGTTATTACAGTTGTTATTGTTGTCGGTGGCTGCCAGCTCCTGGCCGCAATATAAGGAATTCGGAAAAGTTTCTCAAAAAATGTCTGCGCACTTGACGGTGACGACGACGACTTCCGCTGCAACTTGCCATGTGTCTGGTGTTGATGCTTTTATTTATGTGCTGCCGCTGCGCCCGCCACCTCCGTGACTGTAGGCCGGCTCTTCGGCGCAGCGTCGATAGTTGTATTTCAGCCCGCCCGGATCCGGAAGGATGCGAGGTACACGAATTCCTGCTTTCCAACTTAAATATTGCGCCCCGGGGGCCCGACGTTTGAGAGCGAACTCGCAACTTCTGCGACTTTGGCCGCCCGCCTGCCGCATCGTAACATTACAGTGATTACGCCCAGTAAGACTTACGGTTTTATTGTAAGCTGCCGAGTCCGCCATCCATAGACGCGGAACTCTACACTCAGCGAAAAATGTAGTATTCGAAGTAGTATACGTCCCAAGTTGTTAATGAAAGGCTGCTTATATTGGCAGATACTCAAGAAAACGATTAAACAAGCATGTAATTTCGTTGCGTTATGTTTATTTACTAACCAGTGTTCTTAAAAATAAATAAATAATCTCGTAAGAAACACGAAAAGAAAATCCGCTTTTCTCAAGTGCATATACTGAAACTCTGCATGAGTGTGAGCCGAACGTTGTGAATTGGCGATGCGAAAACTTGGTGGGAAAACTTCAAAAGCGCAGCTCGCACAACACAGACTCGACGGGGACAGCACTCCGGCGGTGGCACTATCCTAACTACCACCTGCATTACCAAATCAAGCAAAGCACGTAATGAATCAGTCACAGCGATTAACTTTTACAGCAGCAGCGAACAAATTACAACTGACGTTGTCGCAGTCAACATGCCGGGTCACAATAGTCGCTGAGGTGAATGTCATGGCCTCTGATCCTCCGAAAATTGGGGAGACTTGAAAATACACAACGCTTTCGGTCTCCGAAATCATTTGACAAACGCCTGGTGAAAGAAGAAAATCTTGGCTACCGGTTAAGAACTCTAGTGTTGACGGAATAATGAATAATCAACAATAACTTACTTAACGGCTCGAGCTGCTTAATAAAAATAAATGAAAACTCTGGCTAGATACGGGACTAAGATAATTACCTGATGGTCCGATGATAACTATTTTCGACGTTCCGGTAGGTATTGACAAGCGGAATAAAATAAAATGTAGTTTACATTTTAATCCTTAATAATGTGGTCACTACCTTTTGGTGAGGTCTTTGGCCGTCAGATTGGGCGTGACACCGTGCTGAAAAAAATTGAGCTGCACCAGAATCTCTAGAATCTGCATGCCCAATCCCTACTGTATAGCTTTAATAGTTTCCGAGATCACAGCGTTCACAGCGACTCGGGTTGTGATAATGATCAAGAATATACATTATTTATAGGGTCGGAAACCCTTCTTCTACCTGTAACATACTTTTTCCCGAATCACTGTGGACGGAGAAGAAGGTGCGACGGTGACTAGTCAAAACTAAGAACATTAGATGTTGCGGCCTTTTCTTTAAACAGATAAACAGACGCACTGATAGACGAATACTTGTCTAATGATCCTGATAAAGAATATTGTACTTTTTAGGGTCGGAAACGATTCGTTCGTTTATTATATTCGTTCGTATATTGTTTTTTCGTCACAAAAGTTGATATTACAAAAATTTTTTTGATGAAGTTCCGATTGTCACTATTTTTATTACCTCGTTAAGAGATTGTTTTGGCTTGATACAACATACCGCTTTACCCTACGAGTATAACGGGTATAATAACGAAGACATTTTGATGTTTAGACCACATCTTATGAAAAACAAACTAAACGATTTTATATTTTTTTCGCTTATTTTTTAGTCAATGCAATTGTCATGTTCATTATTTCATGAAAAAAATGTTTTAGTTAACATACAAATTATATACAAATATAAGACATTTATTTACCATGAGGAAAAGAAAACGGGCCTTCATACGAATGTTTTGAAGACTCAGTTATTAGCAAGCACTAAATCATTTCGTTAGTTGCACGTTTATAAGTTCTTCATCCATTCGTAAATTCTCTCAGTGACTCCACGCAGTAATATTAAAATATCAGAGACACTTATTGTTAAATAGTTTCATTTATTAGTAAAAATATAATTTTATTTGATTTGTATATTTAAGTATATTGTTTGTATAATTTTAATTAACAAATATTGCAGCAAATTTCATCTACTAAATTATGGATTACATTACGTATGCTTCATACGGTTTTACGGTTGTTTGTTTTGGTTAGCCGGCGACGCTTCGTTGTCTGCGTGTGAGTTTCTGTCCGGTCCTTTCTCTAACCCTGTTTCTGAGTGTGTACGCTGGCTTACAATTAACAGAAAATTTTAACAACGACTTACAGCAACAAAACGGTGTCCTCCACGGACTAAAAAGTGCTCGTATAGAGTACGTATCTTCCTCCTAGCGCTGAGTATGTGGAGTACGGATTAACCTCTCGGATAACGGCTAACGGCTAGCGGCTTACATGAGGCGACAGCCCTCTCGCTCGCGGCTGTTCTGCCGGGGAAGCTGGCGCTGGGTGGGCGTTGAATGGGCGGAGGATCCGCTGACCACCGCTGCGTTCCCGTTCGACTCTAGACTTGCGTGCCGCGTGAGCCGCTGTAGATTTGGGTGGTGGTCCGCCAACGTCCATTGGTTTCCGTTTGCCTGCTGCGATTTTGGCACAAATTCGCCCTCTTCATTTTCCAGTCCAGTGGCGATGTCCACGCCCTGCTCGGTGCCCGGGCTGGAATCTTGGAGCGGCGAGCAGGCGGTCTCCCCCAACGACTGTATGTACTGTTCCAGCAAGTAAACGTGTGGCTGCAAAGTGAGGACGAATCCCCGGTACAAAGATCCACTGTGTTCGAAGGTGCTCTGACTTAATTGCTTAAGGCTGTCTCCGTGCGCCGACAGGTGTGAACAGATTCGCTCCGGATTATTCCATTAACAATTCGAGAGATGGAGGCCGCATCTTGGAGCAGAATGGAAAGAACCAGCGCGTAGTCCGTGCAATTAGCCTCGATAAATAGCTGCAACAGATAACGCAGCTTGATGGACAGCTTCTCGGGTAACGGATCCACAGCCAGGTCGTCCTCCGATGCCGGAAGCGAGTAGAGACGGCGGTAGCGGAAGTTGTCGAACGAAAGCTGTGAGCCTGAGCGCGTCTTCAGAACTGGTAAGGAGCTGGGTTGCTGCAGCTCTTCCTCCTCCTCCCTAATACTTGGCTGCAGCTGTGGAGACTGCGTAGCAGCCCCATTGGGCGTGGCAAGACTAAAGTAGCCAGATTCCGACGTCTGTGAAGATCCCCGCCACCTGTCTGCCGAAGACTGACGCGTAACTGGGCAAAATCGTCCTTTACCGAAGTCGGAAACGGGCTGGGTAGCTGCAGTTCCAAGTGTAGTGCCTGCAGGGCTCCGGCAAAGTCGTCCAATTTAGCTGCACGCTCCGATTCCTGCGACAGCCAGCTAACAAGGTGAAAGTCCAGATAGGCGCACATATAGCCCAAATCCGTTAGTTTGTGGTTCTGCAGTAGCTGGCGTGCATGGCGCTGGAGAATCATATCGATGCAGAACGTCTCGCGCTGCTTAGTAGACCGTCGACGCACCACTGTAGGTGCTCCCGAACTGCTCGTTTCCGTCACAGGAGCTACTGGTGGGGCACCAGGAGCTTGTTTGTCTTTTGGCAGGTTGCTAGTCACCGTAGTGGAGAAGCTTCTCTCTCTGGCAATGGGACCGAGGACCATATAAAGGCATCTGCATTCTGGTTCACCTGCTGCTGTGTGTTCACCTGGGAGGCGGTGCAATTTTTACATTCACAACCATCGAGGAGCGCGGCGAGTCGATCTCGTTTGGTCGATGGCTTTTAGAAATCGGATAAGATCCTTGGCTAGCTCCCACTTTCGCTGCTGCAGAGCAATATCTAGCAGCATAGTGGCATATTGCTTGCTTACTACAGAGGGTTCCAGATTCTGCAGG